CTTCAGAAGCCAGTAATGAAGCCATCAGCAGGAGGAGAGAGCGAGCGCTGGACCTCGGGGGACGGAGGTAAGCTTCCGCGTATCCATCAGCCGGCGAGGCCCAATCAGAACCAGAAATCCACCCCGAGCAGCAACACTCACACCGCTCGCTCTCGCTCTCCTGAAGAAGGATCCAATCACCCGCAGCTCCTCTCTTGGTTTGAGGGAAGCGCTCTTCCTCTGACTAAGCAACAGAGGAAGGATCGGTCAGCACTTTATGGAGGCGGCTCAGAGATCAGGGGGAAAGTGCTGAGATGGAAGTTAAACCCAGAGCTTTATGCCCCCCACCAAAAGCCCCCCACTGTGTGTGTGTGTGTGTGTGGAGGACATTTTGAACTGGAGGCCTCACAACTGGCCGGTGGGAGAGCGGGAGAGCAGATGGCGGGAAAGAGTGCGTCCCGGTGCAAAGTCGCCCCGGGGCGACGCTCGAGAACCCGAGACGAGCCGGGGACGTTCGGCGTCGGGGCGGGCGATTTTGGCCCGAGGTTGAACGCGCAGTGCTCCTGTCACTCTTACGAGCGAGGTGATGATTGGTTTATTCTAACCAATTAAGGGGCTTCAACATGGCGCCCGGGAGGAGTCGTCCGGGATCCACTTTGGGTGGAGCCTGACGGAGGCGACCAGGCTAAATACTCACCTGGAGCTGAAAATGATTATGGAGGAATCCATCTGAGTGTAGAAGGGGGAGGATCTCTCGACTTCAGTTCTTCGGTCTTTCTGTTCCCTTACATCACATCGGCAGGATACATCTGCACGTGTGTGAGCGATGTTCCTTCGGCTCAACCAGCTTCTTCTCATTTCTCTTTTTAACGCGTTTTCTTTATTATTGTCCAGATGCAGGTTTCTTCTTGATCGTGTTTTTTAAAGGCTAAGGTGGCCTTGGAGGTGTCATCCTATCGAAAAATGAAACGTGTTGGTCTGTTGCTGCGTCTCCTCACATCAGGTCTAGAATCTCCAGACAAGCCGAATGCGACTGAGAATGGAGCCTGGAACGTGACTCCACGTTGTTTAGCGAGGTGAGTGAGCACCTCCGTAGGAAAAGAGCCTGGAAATTCCGCCAAAACCACAACAAAGTGTATTCAAAACATAGAGAAAAAGATGCCGACTCCCAGGGGGACGAAGAGTGAGACCGCAGAGGACCTCCTCTAGTAACACAAGGTCCCCGGGGGGAGGGGGGGGGGGGGGGGGGGGGGGGGGGGGGGTCGCTCGGGTCCACTCCGGCTGCTTTGGTTTTTCAGCTCCGGTGAGTATTTACAGCGGCAGGAAGGAGATCGACTGAGAATAAACTGCTCTGCCCGCGCTCATGTTTATGCAGGAGCGTCACCCGTCACCGAGGGCAACGCTCCGGCCCGATTGATGTGTTTTTCCGCGCTGGTCAATGGCACAGAGAAATAACCTCTGGGCTTTTTTGTCCAAAAAGCATTTTTCTTTCTTTTTTATTTTACTTTCTTTTTATTTATCCAATTCTATGAGGAGCACAAGATGTGGCGAAGGATAGCAGTGCATCGCCGGTGATTTATTCCTGCAACAGGCTCCCTGGTGGACGGTTAGAGGTTCGGGTTTACCTTCGTTATGCATGATTGTGCGTCGTCATTGTGCTGGCTGGTGCCATTTTGCCCTTTTACAGTAGATCTTTCTCAGGCAGTTTTATCTTTGCAGCGCTCCTCACGGCTTCTCTCCACATATGACGCCGCTTTGGTTAGTTTACAGGGCCCCGTCCCACGCCGCGAGGACAGCTTCATTAACTACATGTGGGTGTAATGAAGAACGTTCTCATTCAAAAGGACCTGATGTGGTCAAAAGAGGGCTGAGAGGCCTCATTCTATGCAGACCTTTTTAAATGCATAATAAACTCTTCCCTAGTGGTTACCTCATAACCGCTACGGTTATCCAGAGAGTTGTTGTCCATTTGCGCCTGTGGTTCTTATGTCGCTTGAAAGCTTTATTCAGTTTTCTCATATTTGGGTTCTGGATATTTGGGATCTACGTGGACGTATTAATCTTTTCACCGTAGGACAAACGTATCTGCAGCTTTGGACGTGTCTGGTTTCCTGACACATGTGACCATTAAACCATCAGAGGGCCTGATGTCGCGGGTTGCCTCCTCCTCGCACATTTACACCCCGACGCGTTCACACATGAGAGGGAACGAGTGACCCCAAGCGATCTCAAAGTGTCCCTACGAGTCGCGGTGACGCGCCACGCCCGCCGCCCGGATTCCTATTTCCTTCCTCTCCCGGATGACGCGGCGCGCCGAGCTGCGTCACCGCCGACCGTACCGGCCCGGACGCTGCAGGGGGGGAGAAACGCCTGCAGCCTGCACACATTTACACCTTCTCGTTGGTAAAAGCAGAAGCCACGAGGAGACGTCGTTAAGTGAGATTGTGCTCTGAGCGAGTTCACGCCAAACAGGGCTCAAACTCCCGGGATGCTCTTTTGAAGATCTGTGAATAGTCAGGTAATATTACCTGCATGTCGATTTTTTTATGAGCCAATTGGTGTGAGCTCATTGAACACAAAAAGACGGAGCCGGTCTTCCCTGCTCCTCCTCGCGGGTTCCTGTTTTAATTTAATCAGGCGCAGCAGGACGAGCTCCTCGGGTCCTGCAGTGCCGGTTTCATTTTCCGTTTCTGCTTCTTTCTTTTATTCCAAATGGCAGTGTTTTTTTTTTTTTTAAGCTACTGTACAAATCATTGCCATGGCAACCGGCGCCATCCTGAGCATGCAACAAAACGGATAAGAGACCACAAACACGAAAACAATAAAAATAGCCAGTGATGAATTCATCTGTGATTGCAGAAGCAAACGGGTGCTGTTTTTGTCGGGGTTTCGATCGAGTGGGAGGAATCATGGGGGGGCATAATTCATCCAACATTCTGTTAGATTCCATCAGTTCATTTCAATCCGGTGCGCCGTCACTCCCATTCTGCGTCATTGACCTTATGTAAGAGAAAGGTCACGGCGCATCTATTATGGAACGACTCGGTCACGGTTTACTACATTATTAATCACCTCGGTCTCTAAACACTCACAGTGGGAGTCCGACCCGGGCGTCGTATGTTTGGGCAGAAAATAGACCTCGAACCTCTCGGGACCAACCGAGCGCTTAATTGGTTGACCGAGAGACGGCGTGCGGGCCAGAAGCACAAATGAAGGAAGCCGTGAACCAAAGGGGCCGTGAAGAGGTTCCTCCCCGTGTTCCAAGCCAGCTCAACGTGGACGGCAACTGGAAATAACAACATTTGCTTATTGTGTGAGGGGCGGAGGGGGGTGGTGGGGTGGTGGGGGGGACGACAAACAGCCTTTGTGTGGTTGCGTAACATTGTGACTGAGCAACCTGAACTGTCAGCAGCATCGAGGGGCCAAGGAAGCATCTCAGAGGCAAACACAAAGTACTGTGAAAGCTCCGCATGGGGCAGAGCAGCGAGAGCTCGGAGACACCCGCCCACCCTTCCTGAATCAGCCGTTTCTGTGGCGACCAGAGCGAGCGGGCGGGTGAGGGAGGAGGGCTGATGGGGGGGGGGGTGATGCTTCCGAAACTGAAGTGACAATATTTTAAACCCGGTGGAAGAAATGTGGATGGATGGATGGATGGATGGATGAGGGGCTGAAGGGCGTGGGGGGGGGGGGGTTGATATGTTGAGGGATGGGTGAGGAAAGGACGTGGATGGGTCAGCGGGGTGGGGGGGGAGTGTTGGGGGTGGGGGCCGATTCCTCAAAGCCACAGTCGCTGGAGACTTAATGGTCGCAGGCAAACAGCGGCTTTTCTTTCTCACCCTCAATGGCAGCTCAGCCCCCGGGGCCTAAAACATCCGCACACACTCACACCTCGCGGCCCCCCACCCGGAGACCCCCGAGGCTCACATACACAAGACACACCGGCCCAAAGGTAAGTGGTGGCCGGTTTAAGGCAGGCGGAACTTTGATTCAACAAGTGGTGCACCGGAGGACAGAATTCTGGTGTTTCCATCACACACACACACACACACACACACACACGGGCTACGGGCGACAAGTGTCACTCGTTAACATGGAGGAGGAGGAGGATGAGGAAGAGGAGGAGGAAGAGGAGGCGCTGCGGCGTTTGGCTCGGATGGAATCGGAGACGGCTTCGCGTCGGGAGGAAGTTTGAGCTCCGAATCCAAATAAACATGAAGAATTTGATACGTGTCATCACTTTTAGACATCCAGTCCAACGGGGCCAATTTGCATATATTACAGATGGGGGGAGTAAGGGGGGTATGGGGTGGGGGGGGGGGGCTCTTTCATAATCTGGCTCATTAGTTGGATATAGGACTCGACGTCGGCCCTGTTTTCCAGACCTCTCCAGGGTGCTGAAAAGCCTCCTTATGTAAGCGGCAGGACTTTGATCGGGTTCGTTCTCACCACCTGCAGTGAGACGCAGGTCGAGACAAAAGGACTGGACGAAAAACAGCGCACGTCTGACGTGCACACATCTGCGGATCCTTCTGACGGCGATAAATCACCGCGTCCACGCGAGGCGCGTGCACAGGCTGCATTCCATCAAATCACCCCAAGGCTGAGATTACAGCAAGGCTCCTCACTCCACCCACTTTCTCCATCAGGTACACATGGATCTACACATGCGGGGTGGGGGGGGGGGGGGGGGGACAGATAGATTCCACCCTCACACCCTCACCCTCTTCCACCAAGTCCCTGATGTCTTTCTCACTTGTCAGTCAAAGCGATAAACAAGCCTTCACTCAAACTAACACACAGCGCACAGCAGTGATGTAAAAAAGAAGGAAAACGCACACACACACACACCACACACATCACACACACACCTCACATGCCAATGCACAACCCACTAGTGATGGATGCTTTTCTTTTCTAGGAGAACTTTCCGCCCTTCCTGCTCGTCAAATCAACACATTCCCCTTATTGTTCCAATCAGCATCACGTCAAGAGGAGCTCGCCATGAGGAAATCAGCACTCACCTCCTCTCTGCGGATGCTGCCGGGGTCCTGGTGGTGCGAGGCGGGGGTGGAGGGGGAGGGCCGGGGGGGGCGGAGGTGGAGGTGGAGGTTCTCGGGGGACCGGGAGGACCGAGTGTCTCGCGCTGGACACAAACCGCAGGGCTGAACGTCTCCGCTCTGCACTGCGAAGCTCAGATGGAGTCACTGCTGCCTCTCCCTCCTTCACACGTACTGTAGCTGCAACAGAGGGAAGGCTGCAGCCTCTGTCATCAGCACAGGTCTCTCTCTCTCTCTCTCTCTCTCTCTCTCTCCCCCTCTCTCGCTCTCCCTCTCTCTCCCCTCTGAGCTCTCCTTAAGTCTGGTTACAGGCAGCCATGGCCGGGGAGGCAGGCCAATAAGAAAGGAATAACAGTGAGGAAGTCTTTGTAGATCAAGTCGAGTGTCCCCTGCAAGTATTTATGTTGTGCGTCAGTGTGTGAGAACCAGCGTGCTCTGGCAACAACAATGCGCACAAGCTGGGAGAGAGAGAGAGAGAGAAAGACGGGAGAGAGGGAGAGGGAGAGCTTTGCTCCCGCCTCCCTGTCTTTTCTTTCCACCACCACCACCACCACCACCACCTAAAAACCAACCCACACATCCACCCACCCTCTCCTCCGCCAGCCCCACACCAGCCTGCCGGAGTGAGTCATCAGCCATCAGCCAATCCCTGCGCGGCACACGGCCTCTGATTAGAATAACGGGAGTATTTATGCGGGCATGTCTTAGGCGAGATGACACTGAATCCGGAGAAGTCTCCGGGAGGATTTGACATACTTTGCTCTGGTTTGGGAAGGGTGGGGTCAGGGGATGTTTTAAGAAAAATCCGAGAGTGGACAGAGAACATTTTTCCTGCTTGTTTCTAATCACTTCTAGCAGGCATGAGGTGTTGTTGTATTTTGGTCTAACAACTCGTTTGACTGCTGAGAAAAGACTCGGCGTGAAGATACATTACAAATCCACAGTATTCATCGCCGCTTGTGAGCTGTGACTCACTCGTGTGATTCATTCCATCAAGGCTTCAGCCACATTTCTGTACAATGAGTTCTGACCTGCGGTAATTTTCCCCAGAAAAAAGGATAAATGCAGTAAAAAAGAACGAAAAGTCACAGTGTGAGATCCGTAGCTAAGCACTGACCTGTGATGAGTGCCCTTCTGTGTAGTGAGGTGGGAGGAGCTATTTTGGAATTTCTTTTTGTGAAGACGCTGTTTCTTTGGAGTGGGGCTTGGATGGAAGCTGAGCTCTTCTGGTTGAATCATCGGCACAAACAATGAGCAACCCTTCTGTAAAGAGAGATGAGAAAGAAAAAGATGGTTCAGGGACAGAAGACTCAGGCTGGACAAGCGCAACCGGTAGAAATGTTGGAATGATTGAAGGTGGGCCGGATAGTGCCAAGAAACGCCGTGAATCACAAAACAAAGCAGCACCGGGTCCTGAAATAGTCGCTGCGTCGTCAACACTGACAGCCCCCGCCCCCTTTTGGGCCTCCCATCAAAGCCACGCCCCCAAAAACGACACTACTGCTATAGACGTCGGGCTTGTTTTGTAAGCTGTAGTTTATACTTGTAAGCTGTTTGTTAATGAGTAGCAATTATATTTATTATGTATCCCAGAGCTTCTCAACATTATTAAACTCTTCTGATTGTAAAATATTTCACAGGACCATCTTCCAAAATGAATCGGAAAGAAAACATTTGTGATGCCTGCGTTCTGTTGTCCAGCACATTGGATCGGAAGTCAGATTAAGTTTAGCTGTAACTTTGTTTCCTCCAGCTCAGAAAAACAGTATCCATAACTGTTGTGACGCATTTACAGTTTCCCAATTTTAGGTGGCAAAAAGTAATTGGACAAGCCAACAACATTTCTCAGAAATCTCCTTGGTTTCCATTTGTAGTCTATAGTCTGTCGACCAATTACCTTCGAACAGAGCAAAAGAGGTGCAACGTGTCGGCTGAAATCAATCTGTTAACCGGCTACCTGGAGGTCTGCAGTGACGATGAGGAGAGGGATGAAGAGAAACCGAAATTCTAACTTGTCGACTCAATGACCTTAAAATCGGTAAATTCCTCTTTTTAAAAACTCCTCCAGCCGTGATTCCATGCCTCCGTTTTATTCATTGAAACCCCTTTGAGAGAACTTGATATCTATAAAACTGTTTTGTGCCTTCAAACAGGGATTCCTCCTATTTCTCTCGCCAAATGAATTGATTATTTTCACTGCACTGGAAATCCATCGTGAACGGGCGTCATGGCGGGGACAGGAGTTGATTAGATACCGGACTCAGATCCGATACGGCGTGGCACATCCATAACCCTCTCACAGCCCGCTTAAACGGGCGCAGACCCCAAACTGTGCCGCTCCATTGTCGGCGTCCGATGGCCCTGACGGATCTCTGTCCTCCCCGGGCCGGCGGCACGAAGGATTTGAGGCAACGGGAGAGACGGCGAAGACAATCCCAGCCGAGCGGAGCTTTCTGCGTGACTCAAAGGCTGCAGAGTGGCTGTTAAACTCGTTTCCTCCCCACACGTTTCTGTTGCGGGCCGCAAATAGACTTTGCCATCAGATGCGAATAATAGAAATATCCTGACAATTATGCGGCCGAGCTGCACTCGTTCCTAACGTGCTATTTTTTCCTCTTCAGACTTCCATTAGCTCCTCGAAAATGATTGGGATGGAGGGCAGGATTAATTAAATTTGCTACGGAGTAACTACAGGAAGAATAAACATTGAGAATTAGATGTCTTTCTTTATTAAAGTCAAGTCTGAATAAAGTAATTATACAAGAAAACAGAGTGAAATGATGGTGATAGAAAAACAACAGTAGAAGTAAAAACACAACATGTTTAAATTGCTCCATTGTGAGTAAATAGAAGAAAGCGCTGTTTACATTTTTAAGATAAAAGATCCCCACAGAGGAAGATTAGAAATAGTTAAGTACGAGTATAAGAATACTGAGTAAATATCCCGTCGATTCAGATTTCCCTGCAGCGGCCATGAACCATTCATTCGTTATGGGTCAAACTCGCTCCATGTTGGATCTGCGAATAGATCCAAACGTAATGACGATGAGTATTTGCTGCTTCTCATCGTAGAGAAATCACATCCCCATGTTGACGTTTCCGAGGCTGGAGAACAACCCGAGTTATGGAAGATATGTAAGCGTGATTAACACACTTTGCAGCGGACAAAGGAAGCTAAATTGGATATCTTCCGACTGATTGCATGTCAATGCTGCTTCAGCCTTTTCCCAATAAAAAACGTCGTTCACAATCAAGTGTTCATTAGAGGCCCTTTTACACAATAATGGAACAATCATATCAGTTGACTGCTACTCCTTCCCCTCGGTGGCCTCGTCTTTCTTCTTTAGATATTTTTTCACGAGACCTTCTCTTCTGGTAATTTGTACCCTGAGTACGATGCTCTACACGACCGTTTATTCTGCAACACACACAACGCAACGCAGCCCATTTATGCTACACGACAGAAACAACAAAAACAGTTGCGCATTCCTGTGGTCTTTTGATGACATTCGATGTTTTCAGAATTGTAAAGTAAATGCCCTCTTTTTATTCATTTTGATCCGTTTGGTCCAGCAGATTCAGCAGATTTTGATTCTGTTGTTTTTTTTCACCCATCCGGAAATGGACTCGTGCTCTCCGGGCTCAAAAGGAGGCTTTTTTGTTTTTTACGGTGAGCCGTTTGTGATCGTGCCGCGCGGTTCTTTGTAAGACATCAAACCCCATCGGTGACATCGCTTTCTCATCCACAGCACAAACAGGAAGAGCGGAGTGCCGGAACCACGCGGGCTCGAAGAACACGCCGCCGAAAATACCCTCTGTGAAAGAAAAAAAAAAAAAAACGATTCATAAGAGACCAGATACAATTCACACTACTCTTTAAAAGGGCGAAGCAACTGTCGTCCCCTTCACAGGAACAACAACAAACACAGAGACGGACATGAAAAACACTTATTTCCTCTGGGTGAAAACACATTTCGCTGTTGTGCTCCGTTTTTTTTTTTTGTCGGGCCCTGCTTTATATAGATGACCTTCTCCACCTTGACAAAACATTTTGCAGGTAGCGAAAGCAAAGAGGAAATGTATTTACAAGCCGTAACCGGAACGCGGACGGAGTGATTGCGTCCCAGTGTCCCTTTTCCAATTACCGGGCCCGCTTTGAGATGACTGCGGTCCGGGGTTATTATGTCCCTGGAAATATCAGCCTCTCCGCTGAAACCTAATAACGCTCAAACAAAATGGTTCCAGATGTTGCAGCAAGAATCCGCTAAAAAAAAGATCATTAGCTCCATTCTATTAAATATTGAGAATATGAGTGTTTATGCGAGCATTCGGTACGAGGAGATTAAGGCTTTTTTTTTTTTATGAGCGGTGCTTCTTCTCGTCGCTCCTCACTTTTCCGGTGCTGCTGTCGAGGCCCGGAGACGCCTAAGGGGGGGTCAACGCTCGGCCGTACTTCTCTCTTCGGCGCCTTCAGGGGGATGAGCCATCGATTGCCTGGTGAGCTCAACGCACAAGTGCACGATCACGACGCAGCGCAGCGACGATAATCCACCTTCCGTTCGATCCCAACGTGCTACTCAACCAGAAGATCCGAGGAGAGGGGGGGGGGGGGGGGGAAGAAACAGCCATCGTTCATTTGTCAGTTTTCTCGTTTTCTAGACGTTATTATTTATTCTCATCTTGCGCCTCCCACCGTTCCGGTTGTCCTCGGTGTTCCGTTGGAGCGCGACTCGCCAACAAATTAAGCTATAACATCTCTCCCAAAATAAAGGTTCATTTTTTTCTTTTAAAAACCCCCCCCCCCCCCCCCCATAAAACTCAACTCAGAGGCCGTCGCAACACACACGTGGTGACATCCACACGCCAACATCCCCGCCAGTGTGCAGTGCGACGCACTCTGAACATTCGCTTTTGATGCGCTTCATCATCCCCGGCTTCAAAATGCCAGGAACAGCTTCCCCTGTGACACTTTGGCTTTTTAATTGAGCCGTCAAAAGAGAAGAGAAGCCTTTATGTTGAGATCTCTCGCTCAAGAATGAGACGCCGCCCTTGTTTCGTCCTGTGCTGCTTCCTATCTGCTTCATTTAAAACATGAAAGACGCCGCCTGACTGCGGCCGCCTGATCTCTTCCTCAAATCAGTCCAACCAATAAGCTGTCAATGAAGGAGCACCTTCTCTGCAAGGCGTTAAGAACCTGTGTACTTAAACGCCTCGGGCAGAAGGCTTTGCATCAACAGAGTGGCGCCCGGAGGACCGGCCGTCTGCGTCTGCCACATCCACTTTGGCCGCAGGTAATTGGATAGGACACTTGATGACAACGCGCTGAATGGACGGGACAGGGGGGGCCACGCGGGCCCACCTATCAGTTAACATTTCCACAAGTTGCCACCTAGAAACACACCCGGGGCTGTTAAGCGTTTGCCTGCGTCCCGATCCCCATCTTTTGCCACCAGAGCAGCAGAAGGAGCTTCGACTTCAAACCCTAAAAGCAAAGAATTAGCCCAAGCATCACGGGGTGGGTGGGGGGGGGGCAGCGATGCTGAATAAATCCTGCAGAATACAGCAAAAGATAATGTCGCATCTGGGGGATCCGCTTGCTCGTTCTATCATCCATTTGCCTCTTCCGCGAGGGCAGTAAATCACCTCTAATTGGATCTCGTGTGCAGCAAGACCGCAACTCCAGCCCCTCCGGACCCCCCCCGACGACGTGCTGTTGGGCTAAAAAATGATGAGGCTGTCGTGTAACGTAAACTTTGCGTGTCCTCAGCAGATGGATTTTCCCGCTGGAGTTTTAATGAAGCCGCCTGAAAGGATGCGGCACATGAAAGGTAAACAGATCAGGAGGCTGATTTCGGTACCAGGAGTTATGAAACGCCCTCGTTTGCACATCTATTCCCGTCCGCTCTCCGGCGCCCCGCTATCGATGTCAATGTCGGCGGCCTCAGAAGGCACCTGGTCGAGCAGGAGGAGCAGGTCACCATAACATTGTTAGATCCAGAGCGGAGGGGGTCATGTGACAGCACGAAGAAAAGTCCCCCAGAAAGTCCATCTCAATCATCCCCCGTTCAGATTCAATGTCCTCTTTAGGGGACGACGACAGCTGCAGTTTGTACAAGCAGGATTAACCTCACAGCTTCTTCAAAATATGATTTTAAAACTACGACGGGAGGCCCACTGTCGCAGAAAAAAAAACGTATTAGTGACACAAAGAACGGTGTGAACCTCCAACAGCTTTTCTTTTGTCAAAGTCGGAAAGATCGAGGAGGTCGGACGCATTCGATGTTTTCCTGACGGGTTACAGGAAACAAAAGAAATGTGACGTTGAGAATAAGATGGTGTAAGCGGGGGAACGGCAGACGAGACAATGAAAGGTCGAGTCGTAGTCGGGGGAGGGGCAGAAGATGTAAAGATCTCTTTTGTAAAGATCTTTTCTTGAAGAGGTTTGAAAAAGAAATGAACTAGAAGTCAAGGACCGAATATTTCATGCTTTACTTGTGATTTCGTGTACTTACCGGACGGGGCGACCTGCGCAGGCAGCGCGTTCCCAAACAGCCGCAGCGTGGACGAATGAAGGTCAAGGAGACTCACGGCGAGACGAGGTCTGGTGAGGGACGAGAAGCTGAGGAGGACAAGGCAGCCAGGAGCCTCCAGGAGACGTCATGACAAGACGAGACGCGCGTGAGAAGTGGACGTGTCCCCCCCCCCCGCCCGCTGGTTTGTGGACCGCTGTTCTGAAGCCTCCTCTTGGCCGACGCCATCTTGGATTACAGCGGCCGCCATCTTGGTCTTTTCCAACCAGTGAACGGAGGTTACCGCATCGGGAAGGCAGAGGAAGGACGTACCACGGCAACGCTCTGTCAATCATAGTGAGTCCCGCCCCCCTTGGTTTGACTCCAAATGGACCAAATTGATTGAATGAGTGCAAACGACAACAACAACAACACAAACAGAATGCAGTTAGGTATAAAAGCTTCATGTTATTTGCTGTGAGCTCAGATTTAAACTGTATTTCCCTTCATTAGTTTCCAGCATTCAGCTAAAGGGACTTGAATTAATGTAGCTAAATGCACCGCGTAGTATTTAATGTAATAAATGTTTTCATTTCACGTGAGATCACATGAAAGGACGGTACCGGCCCCGGCGCCCGGGCGGCTGCATCAGCAGGGACCCGCTTAAGTGGAGATAAATGGCTTCCGGTGGAGAGCCGAACACTGAAAAACCAAGCAGGAATATTTAGCAATTCAGCTATTACATGTGTGCCAAAATAGACTTCCAGCCGTCGAGACCTCACGGCATCTTTTGGTCTTCTTTCCATGATTGGAATCCGGCCGATCTGCTAAAGACGAAGTAAAAAGTGCAAAAAGGAGCAGACGTCAGTATAAAATCACAGAAGACTCTCAAAAACGAGTACAGGACGTCTGAATTGCAGGCTGTGAGAATAGAGAGGACGCGGACTGCTTGGCGTCTCGAGTCTCGCGACTCGTCTCGGCGCTCGTCCGGCGATCCTCGTCCGAACGTTCCTTCCTGTCGGGTGCAACAAAACAAGCGGCGGGCCTCGTGCTCGCCGAACGCGGCGCCTAAAGCCCCGGTGTTAGTCGAAGCAGGCCCCGTCGAAAGCCCGGATAAGGCCGCAGCAAAGGCTGGAATCAGGTCTGCGCTGCCTCTGCTCACACAGGGTGTGTGTGTGTGTGTGTCTGTGTGTGTGAGTGGAATATCAAACCGTGCACACTGGCTCTCGGGCACACGGCCGCAATCTTTGTTATTTTATCAGACCGCGAGGAGTCTCCATCTCCTGGATGAGCGCTGAGCTTTATTTTTTGCAGGTAGCGAAAGAGTAAAAGCGTCCGTCATTACCCGTCGGCCCGCCTCCTTATCGGCGGCGGCGCTTTTAATGATCAAATATGGGCCGCGTCGTTAAGCGAGTCAAAAAGTGTGTGTTTTTGTGTGTGACAGAGTGAGAGAGACATTGTGCATGTCGCCTTGAGCGGCAGGCGTGCTTCTTTATTTTAAGGCCGGTCGCGAGGAAGCTCACGGGCGTCCTCCGGTTTGCACGAAAAGCACACAGAGACGCAGACGGACGCGCACAAACGCACACAAACGCTGATTATTCCCCAACCACCCGGCTCTGATCGGCAAACGTACGTGAGCTCGTGTTTTTTAAGGCCCCCTTTTTGTCCTCCGGAAGGCAAGTAGATCCCAGCCGCCACAAATCGGCACGCCTTCGCCTGCTCTTCGTCTGCGGGACATGTCAATCTGGATTAACGCCGCCTCTTCCCGCCGCCGCATTCGCGTTGTGTCGAGCTAACCGGACGCATTCCGTTAGCGGGATGTAAGCGCGTTGTTGCCGTCGGTTTCCAGTTGTCTGTGTCCTCAGTCATGAATCATTGGAAAACATGCGTGTCGTTTTTAGCTTCTAATTGGTTTAAATGTGTTTTTTGACGGGGGCTGGAACCAAAGTCCCAAATGTTTTTGGCGTAGCGCCGCATATCCTTTTAAATGCTGTAAAGCCATGTAGACAACCAGTGCGGTAGTCATGGTAACAGATCAGCCTGTAATGTCAAGTAGGCTACGACAACAGAAGGACTCAGTACACCGAATAGCGAGTTCCATTTCTATCCACCTTTTAAAATTTCCTATCGCGATAATAATAATGATCTTTTTCTCAGACAAAGTCACATGACTCAAGTCAATTTCCCAGCAGGCCGGTTGCTCTGTCAATCATCAGGACGCCCCCCCCCCCCCACCCCTCGACTGAAGCCTTGTCTACAGGAAACGTATAATATCTTATAGTATGATGTATAATAACTGTGACTTCAATCCACTGTGTTTGCAGCCGAAGCTCCTGGAACGTTCCTGTCAGACTCGAGTGTTTCCTAACAGCGAGAGTTCCCGAAACACCAAACCTACTTGATGTGGAACGCGGGTTTCATCTCTAGTTTATTACCCGTGCTATTTAGAAGACTGGAACACACACACACACACACACACACACACACACACACACATGCACATGTCAAGTGAATCTCTTCTCCTCCAGACGAGTCGGATCCAGCTGCCAAGCAGATGGGGTGCAGAGCCTTTGTAGCCTATTCCCCGCCGCGCCCTCGGGAGCCCGATCCGTCATCTGCGGATCCGTCCCAGAGTCTGCTCCGCCCCTTGCCCCCCCACCCCCCTATTAAGGAAACAGGAGCCTTAATTGTAGAGTCCTAATTGGCTGACATGTTTGAGTCCCTCTCTCTCCTGTCACTTTCTCTAATTTGGGGACACAGTTGAAGAACCCAAAGCACACAGCGGAACCGGGCCTGGGGAGGGAGACGGCCGACGGGCGGGGAGTCGCTCCAGGGGTCGCGCACGAGTCAGATTCTTTTTTTTTTTCTTGGACTGACCGCGACCTCGCAGACTGCAGGCGTCCCACAAACGCACACATGACGAATATCAACACCAGCTGTTTAGATGTTATTCACGACCCCCCCCAGTTCCCTTTGACCTTTGATGTCATCGGACTTTGAGCTCGTGCTTCTCTCGACGAGGCTTCGGAACAACAATAAACAAGAGAAAAGGTTGATGCCCCCCCCCCACCCCTCCCTCCCCTTCCCTCTCCTCCTCCACCCACCTCCTTCTGCTACAACACACCGAGTCATAAATCCGATGAGACGAAGACGTAATGAAAAAACAAGCCCCGCTCTATCTTGCGCATCCTGCCGGCCCGATGGTGGACGCGTCTGCTGGAATATTGGACTCTAATTATAGTAAGAGGAGGATTGAAGCGGTTGGACGAGGCCCCGCGGAGCAGCAGTGCTGTCGGGAGGGTGGAAGCCGCGTTGGTCTCCTGAGAAGACGCGTTAGCGTGCTAACACTGGACGAAAGAAGGCCGGAGTTTGACTCGACAAACTCTGAATGGATGTTATTAAAAAAAAACGCTGCGTCGTGACATTTCTGCATCGGATGTCTGAAATACGTTTATCGTTCCCGGCACCACAAGTTTGGGCCGTGAGTTGGGCCTGGCACGTATTAAATGTACACCTGGATATTCGGCTTCGGGTTGCCAAAGTCGCCTCGGGGTCCGGCCCTGAGGGCCGCGAGGCAGCTCCAATTAGCAGCGTTGCGTTAGCTGAACTTGGCCGGTTTGTGCGCCGCCCGCGACTCGTCTGGCGCCAGCCGAGGGGTCGGGGAGCACGGCGGGCTGCCCCGCTGCCTGGCACAGAATAAGCCTTCTACGGCGTGACGGGGGCCGGCGTGCCGGGAGCCCGACTCGGGTGCGTGCCGAACTCTCTGCCAGGCTCCGGTCTACAACACCGCCACCGCCCCCCCCCCCAAAAAAAATCTGTGTGGCTGCTTAGCATATGAACACTGAGATATGATAAAAGGAGTTGAGAGCGGGCTGGTGAATATGTGTGGCTTTTGAAGCGGTTGTTGTGCGATTGCGTGCAGATGAGAGCGTAGGAGGTGTGTGTGTGTGTGTGTGTGTGTGTGTGTGTGTGTTTGCTGATGAGGGTGACATTTGTGCCCACAGTTAGAGGTCAAACCACCAGCATCTGGGGGCTTCTTCCTGCAAACCCTGTGACATCAGTCCAGGAGGCAAAAACCCACCTCAACCGGTCTGGTCCACCCTATACCCAGTGTGCGTGTGTGTGTGTGTGTGTGTGTGCGCGTGTGTGTGTGTGTGCGTGTGTGAAAGCAAGGACACTCCACACACCGCGGCTTCATCGCCTTAGCAACCAGTCGATTGGAAGATGATGAATCACGCCAAAGACGGCTATTTTCTTTGCGGTTGTCAAACATGAACAATGCGTGGCAAAGAGTCACAGGAGCGTCGCCACGGGCGCAATGTTGTGCGCGTGCGTGTGTGTGTTTGAACTTGAAAGGCTCCCATAAAGAGACACAAAGGAGGAGCAAAAATCAAGCCTAAGCGGAGGATAATCAGGAGGAGGCGAGAGGGAGGCGACTGGAGATGCTTTTAAGAACCTTTATATTACATTTCTTATTTCCTGCCACGCAAATAGGTGTTTCCCAAATAAACACACTTCCACTCCCTTGAGAGACCCCACCCGTATAGTTCCAGGTGAGAGCGGATGGTGTTGATGCAGCGTGGTCGGATCTCCTGCAGGGGGCCCTGACGAACAACGCGAGCTCACCTCCTCTGGACTTCAGAGGGGGCCGAAGGGGCCCGGATGCTCTCGCTGGCAAACGGCGTTCTTCAGAAGGAGGGGGGGTCTCCTTCTACATATATTACCACCTGCTGCGAGTGCTGACACAGCCCCCCCGCTGCCGCCCCGCTCTAGAAGACATTCCACAGAAGCGCTGTTGTCACCATCAGTGTGAATAATTTATTGATCCGAGGCGCACCGGCACCTTCAAATAGGCCTGAAACGGGCTCCTCATCCGGCAGATGCCAGGACGCTTTCACGTGAAGCGGCACAGCGCCGCCTCTGGCAGAGCCCCAGAAAGCACCCGGCGCTCAGCATGTATACATGATGGTAACAGTGTGTCGGTACTCATTGGCCTGATGCACGACGCCAACAGTATGCCAGAATGAGTAAGCACGCACTTGCTTATCATTTAGTCCTTTGTGCATCATCGGCTCTCGTCTGTGCAGTTTCTGGTGTCTTTTTAATGTGTCATTTATTGCGCAAAACTGCCCCGGATGCAGTTTGCGGCTTCTGTAAATACGATTAGTTGTGTGAGGAATGGCTGACTTTTCTTTCCTCATTTCAGAATAGAAAATAATCTAAATCCTTTAGCTGTTTTTTTTTTTTTATCACATATTATGTATTCTTGTTATTGACACAAATCTTTGCTTGCAGCTCTACAACCAAACAATCACTCAAAGCAAATTACATCAAAGATTATTTTAAGCTTCGCACATCGACGCCCGGACAGTCAAACTCCCAAAACGACCCTCGGCGTCCTCCACACCGGCCCATGTTCTTTGTTGTTCTTGCCTCGGCGGGTCCGGTGATGTGTAACCCTCGGCGTGAAATGCACGTGGGGGCTGGTGGCGTGGAATGTGCCACAGTGTTCCCTCTTGTCCACCGGTCACTCACGCCAGAGTTCCCGTGGGCAGTGAGTGAGAGAGCATCACGCTCGGCCCACGCGTTTGTCCTCCGGAGCACCACAGTCATCCTCGTGTGCAGAGAGAGAGAGAGAGAGAGAGAGACAGGAAGTCAACACACCACAAGTTTTTACTTGTGAAAGGTCACCGCCAAGTCGAAGCTCCTCTGATTTCATTTGATGTTTCCTAGAAATTCTCACAGTAAAAGTTTGTTTAAAAGCTTTTGTTGTGAAGCAGTGAAATCAGCGTTATTATCAAAATCAAAGCGTCAGCTAAATGACCTGTAATGTGTCAAGGACACATTTCTCTGCTGGGAGAGAAATGGTGAAATAAAGTAGAGATCTGAAATCCTTAACCTGCAGTCCTGTGGGCGTCTTTTCGGGGAGAATATTGAGCTCTATTTCTAAGGACCCGGTGAAATTTGTTTGTATTTGTCATCGGGGCCTGAGGCCTCTAAGAACTCAAGGTGGATCCTTTTCAGATTTAACTGTCCATTTAGAAAGGAAGTTCAATGAAATCCAGCCATAACCACGCCAACGCCGTCCTGCGCTTACACTTCTCTGTCATCCGCGTCTCCTTCTTTTATTCCCTGTGAGTTAAGATTACTCTGACGTCTTGGTTCAAAAAGAATCAATGATTTTCCGGCCGCAAAGAGAGAACGTCTGAGGATTTGTAGTTCTCCCGTCTCCCTGTAGAGGGCAGCGCTTCACCCACAGAAGCGCAGAGGCTTCGCAGCTTAGCAACCGGTGGTTCCCGAGCTCTTCCGGTACCCGAGAGGATGAAAGGCTGGTTCTCATCACTCCTGTGGACGCCATCGTGTTCTTACCCGATGGCCTCGCGTTCTTACCAAGGATCCTCATGTTATTGCTGCGGGTTTCCTCATTTGTCAGAAGTCACACTTTATCAGCCCACCAGGCCGGTCTCCATGGTAACATCAACTTTGTACATTCACATATTTGTGTATGAGGACGTGCAAGTTGATGAACGAGTGTGTGTGTGTGTGTGTCAGGTCGGTCCTGTTGTAAAGATAATTTAACGATAATTCAAGGCTCAGAGAAAACCTCGAAGCCTTTTGTTTTCATGGCACATTTGATTATTTTACAGCTGACGTCATTAAGTCCCAGTGTCAGATACTTTCATAATTATTTTCCACATTCTTATTATTCTCCAGCAGAGAGCAGCGTTCACTCAGAAAATAACACGCTTCTCTTCACTGGAGCTCTGCAATCCACGAAGAGCACCATCAGCTGTAGATGATGATCGGATGATGTATCTGATCCAAAAAAAAACAGCTTTGGGTTCTAGAGACAAATTATGATCGTTTTTATCTTTTTTACACTTTTTTAGAGGCCAGATGATTAATCAATTAATCAAAAATTAATTAAAAAACCTGATGAATGATGATTTAATGGTTGGTTGGGGATCAATGTGAGATTCAATATCAGGAAACTGTAAAAGACAATAGCCTTAATTCACACCCAAAGGTGCTGAATACCTGCAGAACAACTTATTCTTTAAGTCACTCGGACCTGACACAACACATCACATTAACAATAACGCAAAACACGGCGTCTGTTTGTCATGTGCAGATTATTACACGGTGAATTAATAAAGCTTTGGTTTCATTGGCAACTACTACTGTAAATACTTACTTGTTGCTCATATACACACTATCATACAGTTCCATTATTCTGACGCGCGACAAAGGGTTTTGTCTGAAGACAGCAACAACGTGCACAGCGAGAGTGACCCTCTGCCACATTAAATCCATCCCAGGCCTGTGAGAGTAACATAAGCCCCAAATCTCTTTAATACAACCGCCATTAGGAAAGTGCTGAGCTCTTTACCGACAGCTAAGACGCCGCTGCTTCTGCTCTACTTTCGACGCACATCGGGATGCACTTTTAAGGTCTGTTTGCTGCTGCTGTCTTGGGCCAGAAATCTGTAAAGTAAACACAGGGGAGTTTATTCAGTAGAGATCATATACAGTAAAATGTCAGGATTTAAGACCGAAGATCTAGAACCCCGGTCCTTGAGGACTTGCCCTTCTCTCTAGTCCCTCCAAAAAGCCTCTGCTATAAGACTTGTACGTTTAATGCATCCTCTTACGCCTGAGGTCACGAGGTCAAGCCCCCGGGCGCATGGAGAGGCCCGCCCCCTCAAAGAGAAACTAAAAATCTCCATCACGCCATCTCACGTCCTCCCCCAGTGTCTCAGACCTAAAAGGACAACCTCCTTCTGTGCGAGTTTTCATAGAGACGTGCATCAGCGGACATTTGATGTCAGTAAACACTGAATAGCGCGTGCTGTTAGCGGGAGCTAGCGGCTAGTGTGTTAGCATTGGTCTTTTATCCTTTAAACTTAGGGAAATAGCAACTTTACCAGACGCAGGGAGGGTTTAATGAAGAGACGTGACTCTAATGTTCACCACAACCTGTTTGTTTCTTTTGTAAAATGACGGAAAGGACCCCTGGTGGTACGTTGTGTACGTGTGTGAGTGTATTAACACCTACACTAGTGTTTCAAAGACACAACGTACGAGCCTTTGCACCTTTCTCCACTACGTCAACTGATTCTTGGGATTGAACTGTAAATAACAAATGAAATCCAAGCTATGAAATATCCAATATGTTGAGGGTAGGACTGCAGTGAAAGATGATTGACAGACAATTCATTGTTATATATCTATATCTATATATTAATTGCTCTTTTACATTTAAAGCAAAAAAGCTAAACGTATGATTTCTTGAGAGATTTAATGTATTTTCTTTATCATTTGTGATAGACAAGAAGATCAGTGTCTACAGAACTTAGAGAGTTAAAGTCCTACAGACTAGAGCACAGAAACACCAGCAGTATCTAGTCCTCACAAAAAGATCTTTTCACATGAGGCGTCGGGCTTTAGAATAAACAGTTATGGAGAAGCTCGGCGACTGAACACGGGCATGTGCAACCTTAATATCTTGATGAGCGATCACTTATGTTTGCAGTGGTGGCTGGATTAGATATTACCGGTGGCCTAAATCACTTTGTGCTGACGGATTTGGAAAGTGATAATCCAAGGTGTGCCTTTTAAAAGCCGGTCGGCGGCCACCTGGGGTCCATTTGTAGCAGGGTCCCCCTCCATCGCTCGCCTGACAACAGCCAGAAGAAACCAAACCGAACCGGGACGATCGCAACCGCCAGCCGCAACCATGAACGGCACAGAGGGACCCTACTTCTACGTCCCCATGATGAACACCACGGGAATCGTGCGGAGTCCTTATGAATACCCTCAGTACTACCTTGTCAACCCGGCGGCCTACGCCGCCCTGGGGGCCTACATGTTCCTGCTCATCCTCGTGGGCTTCCCCGTCAACTTCCTCACCCTCTACGTCACCCTCGAACACAAGAAGCTGCGGACCCCTCTAAACTACATCCTGCTGAACCTGGCGGTGGCCGACCTCTTCATGGTGCTGGGCGGGTTCACCACGACCATGTACACCTCCATGCACGGCTACTTCGTCCTGGGTCGCCTGGGCTGCAACGTGGAGGGCTTCTGCGCCACGCTGGGCGGCGAGATCGCCCTGTGGTCGCTGGTGGTCCTGGCCGTGGAAAGGTGGGTGGTCGTCTGCAAGCCCATCGCCAACTTCCGCTTCGGCGAGGACCACGCCATCATGGGTCTGGCCCTCACCTGGGTCATGGCCGCGGCCTGCGCCGTGCCGCCCCTGGTCGGCTGGTCCCGCTACATCCCCGAGGGCATGCAGTGCTCGTGCGGAGTCGACTACTACACGCGTGCCCGAGGGTTCAGACAACGGAAGCGTTCGTCATCTACATGTTCGGTCTGCCACTTACATGATCCCGATGATGATCATTTTCTTCTGCTACGGACGGCTGCTGTGCGCCGTCAAGGGAGGCCGCCGCCGCCCAGCAGGAGTCCGAGACCACCCAAAAGGCCGAGAGGGGAGGTCAGCCGCATGGTGGTGATCATGGTCATCGCCTTCCTGGTGTGCTGGGTGCCCTACGCCAGCGTGGCCTGGTTTATCTTCTGCAATCAGGGATCCGAGTTCGGACCCGTCTTCATGACCATCCCGGCCTTCTTTGCCAAGAGCTCGTCCGTCTACAACCCGTTGATCTACATCTGCATGAACAAGCAGTTCCGCCACTGCATGATCACCACATTGTGCTGCGGGAAGAATCCCTTCGAGGAGGAGGAGGGAGCGTCCTCCACGAAGACCGAGGCCTCCTCCGTCTCCACCAGCTCCGTGTCTCCCGCGTAAGAGGGGCCGATCCACCGAACCAGAGAAGAAGACTTCCGCCCCGACCCCCCCCCCGGGAAACGTCTACAGAAATAACTTTTTGTATTTTTACAAATGTGTTGGTTCAACCTAAAGACAGTTGCAGGTCAAGTCAGCCCACTACAGAGTTGTTCCTGCATGTACAGAATATCCAACTCGAAAAATTTCATAGATTTTTTTTTTTTCCTGAGAGGAAAGGGATGAAAAAAAAAAGTTTATCTTTTACGGTTGGATCCTATATGATACTGGCTTATTTTTGAATGTAGAGGCATGTAATCAAAGCAACGTAAAATAAAACGCACTTTGCAAATGACTCCTGTTTATGTTTTGCTTACAATTTGGGTGGTTGAGATCATATGAATGTAGTATATTTAATCAAATGAATAAATGTAAACGACTTATTCATAACGCATTCATGTCTTGAGTCAGTTTCTACTTTAAAGCTCTTTTTGAAGCGACTGCTTCTCATTTTAACCAGAGGTCACCTTAGACTTAAAACTTGTCCCACCTGGGATTACGACATTGCTAATCAGGGATGAATGACATAACACCAACTCTATCTGATGACGGATATTAATTGTATTAATAAAAGGTTAACACCGATAAAGGCTTAACGATATAAGAGACACCTTGACGAAGGGTTACGGAATGGAAACAGTACTCTTATCTCATATCACAAACCGTATAAATGAAGATTCAGTACCAATTGTTACCAATATTTCTAGTACTTCTAAACAGTATTTTAATATTAAGGGCTTAAACACACTTTAATTCAGTTGTTATTATATTTTCATTAAAGGAGAAAAACAGTTTTTCCATTGCCTCCCAACATGGCAACAAGGTAAGCTAACGGTGATATCGGTGCTAACAATGCTAACGGTGGTTTTAATATTGCTTATGAATGCCAACCAGGGGGATTTAAAGTGAGGTGATACCAGATATAATAGCTGATTGTAAAAAGAATACGTAAATATGACATCATAACTGTGCATCTTGTGGACTTAAGGAAGATTGTGTACAACATTTCTCTATCGATTTCCAAAACGTAGGAAACGGATTCAGCTAAAATACAGTGATGCAGTAATACCACCAGTAATTAATAGTGAATACTGCGCTAAAGTGAATCTATAAAACATGGTTCCCCGCTAGATCTTCATGTTTACGGCGTCTTCGCCTCACAAGGACGCTCTTTGAGTCCTCCGTGTTCTGAATGGCAGGAACTCTTTGTGGCTTGTGCAGTTCGCCAGACGCGAGAAAAACAAACACCCCAAGATCTCTGCCATAGTGACCTTCGTGCGTTGCTATAGCAACCACCGTACCGGCGGATGTTTCGTGGAATACAGATAAACCCATCGAAGAGTCTGAAGTCAAGCTTAAGGGGAGAAAAACCGAAAAAGTCCTGCTCTAAAAATGTTAATGAAGGAATTTGAAGAATGTTGGATAGATGGCAACTGGCTTTCTGTAAATAAAATATTCCTAATTACTACGCTAATACTACGCCCATTTGAGATGATAAAGCTTATAAGTGGTGCGTTTGGATATTTAAAACAAACGTATTGCATGTAATGATGTAATGTGTTGTAGTACGAAGACTGCATGCGTCTGACAGCTCATTCTATTGACTATTCTATGCTCCTATTATGTTACTATCGTGGATTTAAGAGCGTACATTGTAGTTATTAAATGCAGCACATTCCTGAAGCTGAATATTTAAACGTAGCGTGACCACGACGGTGATTTGATCAAAGCGGTTTAACAAAAACCACAAAGGCCCCTCCAGGGACGCCGTGCAGAAATATGAAATCCTTTTGAATTTGTATGGAAAACTTTATTTGATAATAAAAATAGCATTCACAGACTTCTTTTGATAGCTACATATACATCGTAATCCATCTCAAGGAAAGAAGCTGGATAAGTCCACATCTACTTGTACTTAGACTAATGTTATGTATAGCTTCATGGGTCAAATAAAGCTATGAACAATGTAGTATTTATATATGCATAGTTTTATAAAAAAGATTGGCCCATATACATGTACTGCTTTTATCAACACAGAGACAGCATTATGTCCGGAGCACATTGCAAGAAATAATGCTTGAAGAACACAGACTGCATACAAGTGCTTTATAATACAAAGGCAGGCTAACCATCGAGAGAGATTCAAACCATCAAACAGTTTCTGATCGACCAAATACAGACTTTCATTTTTAAAACGTCTTTACATACCTGATCCAGAGTAAATTAACATATTTTCCATAAATCATCAGGTCCATTTCAGAGATATAAACACAATATCACATTCCTCACGGCTGAGGTTGTCCATAAATTTCTCTTTTGTACAAGAAAAAGGCAACATTTTATTCCTTGACAGGTTCCTAATAGTTACATTGAAAAAAAAAAAATCTTTACAGGTGATGGCCAACAGGTTAACTTCATAAATGTGTTCTTTTTTTTTTCTTCTTTTTCGTTCTTTTTTTAATACAGTACCATGGCGACAACAGTGATCAAACAATGCGTTTGTTGTGTTTTTTTTTATCCCAATATATTTTAGTTCTTTAATGAAACATAAAACAGAGAACACACACAAAACATCATCATGAAGCAGCAGTCAGACTCCAGTGGCGCGACGGCTTGGCTCAGCACGGCCCGGCTTGGCTCAGCGCGGCAGGTCGGTCGACTTTGTCGCCGCGTCAGCTCTTTGTGTCGTCGGCAACACGAGGACGGGGGCCAAACAATCACTGTGCATGTTCCTTATTCCCGCTCACAGCTAAGGGGCTCAACTACACTTCATTGTACACATGCACCTTGCACAGGGGTAATTTACACTCTTTTGGGGTGGGGGGTGGCAGAGGGGGGATTGTGTGTTACGGCAGCTGAACGCTGGTTTTGTGGCATAATGCAGACTCATCAATTTAGGTTTCTCTCGTTTTTTGAAGCTATTTCTGGGAGAAAATAATGACGCGGTAGTCTGATCTCTTTTTGTTAATTTGGGGTGGGGGGGGGTGGGGGGGTTGTGGGAGCACGTTTTGGGCGAAAGGAGGGTGGAGCTGCCATCGAGTTCGAGGGTGCGACACAAAGTAAAGGTACAGCATGCTTTCCTTCGGTGTGCTCGTCTTCCTCGAGTCTTCAAGGAATGAAGCTCGCTCAGGATATGTGCCAATTAAAAGAATAAATAAAAAAAAAGTGAGCAAATCCAACACAAAGTCATATATTATTTATATAATTATCACTCGCCTTTCACCGTCAGATCTTAAATTTAGATTTTTCTCTTTTTTTTCGTCTCTGCCTGAACGTGACTTTCTTGTGCTATCGTTTGTTCAGTGAAGCGATTCAGGAATGAAACAGACATCTAAAAAAAAAAAAAAAAAGTTGAAAACAAGCTTAGAAGAATTTCACAACTGGAAGCATTGTTTCGTTTCACCTCTGAGGGAACAAATATTTAGATTCAGCAAATGCCTACAAAAAGCAATATCACCGATTTCATATGCAGGCACAGACAATACCTTCACAACAGTACATCAACCTCTGGTTATGTCCAAAATAACTATAACAAAAAAAAACAACCAGCATGAACTGATGGAAGGATTGAACTCCTGCTGTTCTGTGAATCTCCGGATGGGATCACGAGTAGTCAACCAGATAAAGGACAAAGAGTTTTAGCATCCTCACGGGTCCAGTGTATTGTACAAAGTCTGCACAGATAGAGGAGAGAGTGGCGAGGAGGCGGGTCTCCGTCCCTAGATGCTGAGGTCGGGGCTTTCTTTGTACAGCCTCCTCTTGGGCTCGGGGAGCTGGTTGGCGCCGCGGACTCCCGCGTTATTCTTGTGGCCCGCGTTGCTGTAGGCGGCGTTGTTGTTGTGCGCGGCGTTGTTCTTCGTCACGCCGTAGTAATCCACCAGTCGAGGGGGCGGCGCCGCGTAGCTCGGCTCGTCCCGGCTGTAGTTGCTGTCGGGGGAGGAGTCCCGTTCCGCCCGGCACCGCCGCTGCGGGGTCCCGTTGGTCGACCACCGCTCCTCCCCCCTCTCCGAGGAAGAGTCTCTCAAGAGGTTGGCGTTCCTGGCGGCCCTGTCGCAGGCGCGGCCCCTGGACGGGGGCGAGAGGTCCCCGTTCTTGTGGGCGCGCTCGGGAGTCGAGGCGCCCGCGAGTCCCTCGGGAGCCGCCGCTCGTGGAACCGGCGCTCGGGCGTGGCCGCGAGGAAGCCGCCGTCGTCGGGCTCCCTCTCGGGCGTGCGGTCCCGGGGCGCCCGCTCCGCCCTGCGGTCCATGGACTTGGCCCGCCGGCGGTCCGGAGACGGGGCCCGCTTCGGCGCGGGCGAGCGGTCCAGCGAGCCGCGGCGCTGCTGCCGGAACCTTCCGTCCAAGGTGGAGCTGCTGCCCGAGGGCTCCCGCCCCCTGAGCTTCTGGGCGGCGGCGGCCTTCTTCCCCGAGCTGTCTTTCCTCAGAGTCTTCAGGAGTTTGGAGATGCCGCTCTCCGACTCCGACTTCTTGACCTTGCGGCCTCGGCTCTTCTTGTTGCTGCCGCTGCCGCTGTTGTAAGTGTTGTCTGGAGACTGCTGTCTGAGGGTGCTTTGACTGTGATTGTTATTCCAGGTGTGATGGTGGTGGGGGTTGAATTGCCGGCCTTGGTAGTCCATCTGATCTGACCCGGCCCTCTCCCTGTCCCGGCCACGCGCAGCCTCCTCCTGGCGTGATGGTTTGTGAAGGTCTGGTGGATAACTGGACTCCGATGAGGTGTGATATCGGCTGTTAGGCGGCAGCGTTCTCACTTCCGGAGTGTTTTGTGCCCCGGGTGTGGGAGGGTGCCCGTCACTGCCGCCGTCTGCAGGAGAGGAGAAAGGAAGAGAAGCCGGTTGACCAGAAACACCTCCAGAGAGCCGAAGAGGTTCAGGGAATGCTGATACAACGGCCACGTGAGACATCTATCGCGTCGAGCAGGCGTAAACTTTCCTTGTTGGCTCATGTCAGCTGTCGCTTTGACATGACGGAAAGCCAATGCACAGATTTATGGAAACCATGCGTGCACCGTGTACATCTGCCGAGAACCAATCGGGGCCAATTTTAAATGAGTCACAAACGATAAAATGCATCGAAGCGATGAATTTTTTTTTTTGTCCTCTAGAGACACAAGGTGATGTCAGCAACCACAGCGGGGGGCAACACATCGGCAGGTGTAGGGGCGGGATCATCAAAAGGCACAGCAGGTACCGAGTAAATCATTCAAAACAAAATGGGACGGCTCAGGATGCATCGTTGGGGGAAAAAAGAAAACTCACTCAAAGCAACAACAAAAAAAAAAAAAAGGTGTTTTGCTGCAAAAAATGACATTGAGGTTTCTATGGCAGCGGCATGTGAGGTGGCGTTAGTCCCAGGGAAGAGAGGTCTGGTGTGGTTGCTGGCGGAGCGGGTGGCGGTTTGTGCGGATTCACGTTCAAGTTTAATGCAGGCAAGACACAGAGCATGCACACTATGTAGACACACCCGCCCGCCAAACACAAACAGAGCGTATTCAGGTCGGGATGAGCTGGGCGGGACGGGTGGATGAGGACGGGGAAGGAACAAAGGACGGCGGGGGGAGAGTGGATTGGGACAGACTTTTGGCTACAAACCGTGGTCTGATTTTGGCCCATTAGGTAGAAACAGGGCTCTCCCATCTTGTCATTCCTCATTGTACCAACAGCGAGATGAGGAGTCATCATCGCTGGCGAGAGGAGGAAGAGCCCGGCAACAAGAGTCAGAGAGAAGGGAGGAGGAGTCGAGAGGAGAAAACAGAGAAGAACAGACAAGAGAGGCTGTTTCACAGTGCATCGCAACAGAGAGACCAAGGGCTTCCGTCGTGAAAGACAAGAAATATTACACTCGATACAACATCGTGAAATCCATCTGTGAAGGGAGTAGAAGATTAAATCCCGGAGAAAAACAAGGCCAAGAAACAGGACAATATGACTCACAGTGCACGAGCAGAGCGGGAATATTACTCCAGTTGTGTAACATCTGCTGCAGATCTCACAAACAGGCTTTCCTTCAATTGTTTGATAACAGCAGCTCGACTACGAGCGTCACTATAAAAAAAAACATGGAGCAGGAAGCGCTCAGTACATCACGTCACTCAGCTGACGCTTTAAATCCAAAGCGACGTACGTCAACTCATTGTTTACATTTTTTATTTGGAGCGATTAGGGTTTGGGTGTCAGAGTTGACATGGGACAACCACCCAACCTTGCAGGTTCCCGGTGCGCCCACTCTACTCCACCCTCTCTACTCCACCCTCGTGAAGTGGGACAACGACACGGGGGGGAGGCGCCGCGCGTACGTACCATATTCAGGGACGGATCCGTCCCCCCGCTTGAGGACGAGGCGCGCCCTCCGGCCGCCGCTCTTGATCAGCTCGATGGCGCGCGAGTGCATCATGTTCTTTGTGCTCTCCCCGTTGATCTCCAGGATCTCGTCCCCCACCTGAAAACACCAGGGGGCCACGTTGGCGACGGAGAGGGAGCGTCACAGATCCAGGTTCAGTCATTTTTTTGGGGGGGGGGTTTTCTTACCCTCATCTTGCCGTTTCTGACGGCCGCCCCGTCCTCGGCGAGTCTCAGCACGTACAGGTCCATGCTGTACTCCCGTCCGCCTCTCAGGCTGAAGCCGAAGCCTTTGCTGTCCCGCTCCAGGTCCACGGAATAGAACTCGGCATCCTGCGAGACACGGAGCGATGACGTCACGGGGGGGGGGGGGAGGGCCAGAGAGGAGCAGTACAACAAGGGAGGGAGGCGTGACCCCCAAACGTGACCCGACTCCCCGAGAGTGACAACGCGGCCCGAAAGAAAAACCCTGCAAATAAGGCCCGGACCCTCACCTGAATGTGTGCGGGCGGAGGGGGCGGAGCTCCTTTGGACTGTGAGTTGTTCCTTTAAGGTAGAGAAGCTCGCATGAATACACACAACGTTGGGCTGTTTGAAGAGGATACGTCCCAGGAACCGGACGGACGCGTCGGCACTCACCGGGACTCGCTGGCCTGATGAGGTGTGTGTGTGGTGGTGATGGTGGCGATCTTCTCGGCATTAGTCAGCAGAGAAGCATTGGAAGATTCTGCAAAAAAAACTGAGTTCAAACGAAGTGACCGCTCTCGTTAAATGCGTTTGTCACCGATGACGTCACCGATGACGTCACTGTCACCGGCCTGACGCCCGCCTGCCCTGCGGTGCTGTCGTCTGCTCATGAACAACTCTGACCCTCAAAGTAGCCCCGAATGTGAAAAGCGGGGGAAGAAAACGGCGTTTTGGGCCCCTAATCGAGCTTCCCTCTCCGTCTCGGCGGAGGGTGTTACATCGCGCCAGCCGGGCAAAATAAGCACCCTCGCTGCGCCACGCGACACATTCCACTCAAAATCATGTCGCAAACTGCGCTTGTGCCGGGACATTATGAGCTTTATTTTCCACTGCTGCACTAAGCCGGAGAGATTAACACCAACGGGGAAGCACTTGATTAAAAGGGAGCCGGCGCAAAAATACTGCAGAGGAAACAAACACAGGAAGAAGCTTTGAGGGGGGGGTCCTCAGACTCCTCTCTCACCCTCCCGGCCAGCAAGGAGTCACATGGACGAGCCTTACCATCACCCGGGATGATCCGGAGCGACACCGTGTTCCCGGCTTCTTTGATCAGGTTGACGATGTCCGAGTGCGACTTGTTGGTGATGGAGCAGCAGTTGACGGACAATATCCGGTCGCCGACCTTCAGCTTCCCGCAGCGGTCCGCCGGGCTGCCCTCGATGATGCGTCCTATTTTGTGGGGCATGGCCACGCAGGCGTTTCCGGCTTTTTGCGTTAGTTTAGTTTGTTTGTTTTGGCGTGATGGAGACGGTGTGCGGCGGTTATTTGGGATTCATGGGTGTCGATTGGTAGCGTTGATTTTTAGAAGGGAAAGAAAAGACAGGAAGACAACGGGGAGGAAGAGACGAAACAGAAAGGTTAATTATGCAAAATCACCAAGTTCAGTAAAGAAAAACACCAGATGCCTCAGAGCCGCCCCCCCACCGTCTGACCTATCAGGTCGGAGGTCGGGGGGGGGGGATGCTGCTGCGATATGTGGTGCTGCGAGAAATATGAGCTGCGCCTGAGTGACAGGTTTCAAACCTGCCCATCTTGTTTAAACAGAAGGCTCTGAACAGACCCTGAATACCCCCCCCCCCCCCCTCGCCGTTTCCCTCCAGTATCCCTGACACATCCATATTTATTGCATCACCTCGCCACGCCTAATTACCCTCCCGTCGGCCGGCTGATTGAAAAATGTGCTTGTGTCCTGTCACTCTGTCTAAATAATGTGTGGTAATATCCAATCTCCTAAACACAACCTCAACCTCGGGTCGCAGGGGGGCAGGGGGGGGGGGGGGGGTGGCAGGTCCAATCATCTCGTCCCGTGAGCGGAGGAAAGGAAGCCGCCAAAGGCACCACGAGTCGCTTGCTGGTGTGCGTATAAATAAGCCATTACTTCTTGCATTTTGCCGTGGGATCAATGAAAGCCCCCCCCCCGTCCCCCCGCTTCGTCCCCGTGTCACGGCGAGCGACCTTGGGGCGACATTGGAGATTCATCCCTCGGGAGGTTAACACCGAATGCGCTCTGTGTAAACGGGACGGACAGCGGACGGAGCCGGACTGTTACAATTACACGCCGAACGGATCGGGCGGGGCGGGCGGGGCGGCCGTGAGGCGCGGATCAGCCGTGATGGTGTAAGCGATGGAGCCATCGGGCGCGCGCGAGGAGATTCCTTCGTCCCCGAAGCTCTGGAACGGCAGGTTGGTGACCTCGTTCTGTCAGAAGCGTAATTCAGAGAGTAACTCAATGAGGGAGTTTATTATTCATATTGCAATTCCGCCCGGAGACGGCGTGAGTCATTTCACTCAGGGTTCATTTATACTCCCCAGCTTTGGGCTGTTTCGATGGTTTCTTTTGGTTCTAATGGGTCAAGTGGTGTTCTATTAATCGATTAGAACTGCAGACCTTTTGTTGCAGCACTTTGTGCGGAACGCCGAACGTAATAAGTTGTGTTCTATGTGGTATAAACGCTGCAAATGGTCTTTAGCAAAGTGATGTTGCCGGTGCCAGGCGGTACCTTTAAAAGGTTAAAAGGTCTGTTGCTCCGTTAAAAGAGGAGAAGAGAAGAAGAGAAGAATCGTTCAGAATGAACTCCGGCGCAGATTAACACCCGGACGATCAAACCGACGACTGATTAAAGTCGGAATTGCCAAAACAAAAACAAACCCTGGACATAGACACCCCACCCCCCCCCTCAGTCGCACCCGGCCTCGGCCCGCTTACCGAAGGTGGTGCCGGCGTCGGGCCTGGACACGGACGACACGATGACGAAGCCGAAGCCCTCGTTCTCCCCGCGCTGGATCTCCACGTCGTACGGCTGCAGGGAGGCCGGCACCACCGCGCTGCCGCTGCCGCCTCCGCCGCCGCTGCCGATGCCGCTGGTGGAGCCGCTGCCGGAGCTGACGGTGTTGAGAGAGTTTTGGCTGCCCTGGGGGGTCCGCTTGCCCTCCGTCAGGCTGGGCGCCTGGGTGCTGCTGTGGTGGGAGGAGGCCGGCGACGGGGGGACGTCGCCCTCTCCCTTCGACACTTTGGAGGATGATAAAAAATAAATAAATAAATAAATCACGATAAATCGTTGAGCTCGAATTCAACGGTCGCGAACCTTCGACCGCTCACCTCCGTATCCCGCCGACTTGCGCCTGACGGTGAGGTTGACGTGGCCCTGTTTGGCGGCCTGCTGCATCAGCTGCACCACCAGCTGGTGGGACTTGCCCACCACCGCCGTGCCGTCCACGCAGATGAGCTCGTCGCCCGACCGCAGGCGGCCGTCCTCGTCCGCCGCGCCGTACTTCACTATGTGGCCGATGTAGATCTGGAGGAAGGAGGACACACTACTCACTTTCTGATCTTTTGAGGGACTAAAAGAGTTTAACCACATTCCCTTTGTAAGAATCTTTCCCCCTGATATTTCGGCGGCGGCGCGCTTCAGGCATCGCGTGGGCGGCGTACGCACGCGACTCCGACCGCCGCGCCGGCACCTTCTGGTGCGAACAGCAAGTAGCGGCCGACCTGCTGCCGTTTAATTTCCTTTGTTCTTAAACAGGGCTTTCCTTCCTTATTCGTACCTCCGGTCCACTTTTTCAAGACAGATATATGGCGCACACCAAAGGGATTGTGGTAAGACCTTTGCCTCTTTTAACAAGCTGTCTATCAGATGCTCCAGAGAGCAGCAGCTCCAGTTCCACATCTCCGCCGGAGTAAAAGGCAGCAAAGACAAAATACAACAGGAAGCCGCGGGAGATTTTTTTAGGACTGGGAGGCGGACTGGGAGGCGGGCTGGGGCCCACACATTCACAGATGGGACTACTGAGTGTGCGCGTCCGCTCGGTCCGTGATAAGCGACCCGTGGGCCGGTGGAGGGATACTTACAGGTTCCCCGGGCTCATTTCCTCCCAGGATGCGGAAGCCGAAGCCCGTATCCTTCCGCCAGAGGAAAATGTCCTGCTCCTGGGAATCCGGCACTGAAACGCACAAGAGAAGCGAGTTAGCGGGGTCTTGGTGGTGGTGGTGGTGGTGGTGGTGGGGGGGGGGGGTGGTCAGTTTAGTCTCGTGACCTCGAACCCTCGTGATCGCTGGAACCCTGTTAGCCACCACAGACACACACACACACACACACACACACACACAGACGCACACATTTTCACAGTCGGGCTACCAAGGCTACCACGTCAGGCCAGAAGTGAAGCCTTTAGCCTCCGCTACCGGCCTCCTGTGATACGGGCGTCAGCTGACCGGCGTCAGCTGACCGTAAGAGATGCAACATCGAGCGACGGCTTGAATCCCCCAAAAGTCACCCTGGAATATTCACTTTCATCCGGTAGTTCTACTTCAACCGAACCGGAGATGGTGACTTACTGCGCAGTGGAAGAGAGATAACAAAAGACACTAAAAATCTCGTTGTCTTTATGAGTTCTTGCAGCTTTTAGGAGATCGTATTCATGCATGTTCTGTACTTTTATGAGAAAAAAACGAAAACTAGGCCGGCCATGTTTATGCGGGAGCCTCTTTGTCATTCATTGCCTTCATCTCGTTTCCTCCCCCATTCTCCCCCTCCTCCCCCTTTGCCGAACTCCCGAGAGAAAACAGGCTGCGGATCCTTCAGGGGTTTTCCAAAAGAAATACACCAATCAGCAGCAGCTAAAAGCAACCCGGTTAATATTTAATCAGCAGCAGTCCCAGATTCCACAGGCGGCCACGATTGTTTCGAGGAGCGCACGTGAGGCCGGCGACAATCGCTGCGCGCGACTCGCTGACACGTCAGCGCTCGACGGCCGCAAAGCGACGACACACACACGCACACGCATTTCACTGCACAGTCGGACCTACGGCCCCTCTGGGCTCAGCAGGTACGACTGCACCTGTTATTTAGACTCCTCCCCCTTTTCTCACACCCGTACGGTGTTTCTATTGTGAACGACGCCCACAGAGAGGTCGCACACAGACACACACGCACGCCGTTGTGCGTCTTCAAGGAGACTTTCTCGGTCCTGACTCAGAAACCACGCCACCGTTTATCTACTCACAAAAATGGGCTTTAACTGACACACAAACGCACAAACATGTGTGCGTCTTCTACACAACCTGGATAAATGCTTTTGCTGAAACACTCTAGATGTTGTAGTTTACAAAGAATTAGATGAACCAATGACTTGTTGCTTTGCATAAGTGGCTGTTGTTGTGCTGCCTTGTTGTTGTTGTTGTTGTTGTTATCGTATCGTCGGGCACCGTCTTACTGACATGCTAGTCTGGTTTTCCTGCCCGGGGGACTACAGATGTGAATTAGCTCGTAGCGAACTCTGGTCCAGAGCCGAGCATCCCGGTCGGATAGACACATGCATACATGAATGAATGAATAATTAAACTTGCTGCTAGCTGTTGCTTTCATATTTAAAGTGCAAACATGAGGTTTTTTTTTTAGCTTTCATGTTACTACCAGGCGGTTAAAGGTCATTTCGCCCTCACGTCACGAAGTCCCCAGCGGGACAAACCCGCCAAACGTGAACCCGGCGAAGCCCCGAAAACTCACGTCGGCTCTCGTACATGCTCCTGGACTGCGCCCAGATCTTAAAGGGGTCCGGCTTCTTCTGCAGGGTGAGGGTGCCGTCCGCGGGGTCGTGGGGGGGCAGGCCCGGCAGGGGCTGGGTGGGGGCGGCCGGGGTGGGGCCCACGGCCTCTCCGGGCATGGCGCAGGGCGGGTGGCCGGGGGAGTCGGCGTGGGCGCTGCGATGGCTGCACACGCTGTGCTGGGAGCTGCTCTGGCTGTCCTTCCTCTCCAACTGGTGCTGGCGGAGAAACGGAAAGCAGAGTGAGCGGAGTGTGTGTGTGTGTGTGTGTGTGTGTGTGTGTGTGTGTGCTCGGGGGGGGTCAGAGGACGGGTGAGGGCGAGATGCAGGAGGAGAGAGATGAGGAAACGTGTCGATGGAGGACAGAGAGATGAAAGGAGAAAAAGCCTCCAATGTCATCAGAATATCTCGCTCTCGACACTTGGTTCTAATACGACTCCCGAATTAAAATAATCACCGTTAATCTTTCATATTAAGTCCGGTGAAACGTTCCCCGCCAACAAAACCCAAACACGGTGGCCGGTTCTGTAAACACAATAAAGCTGTGGGGAAATCCACTAAACTTACATTTTAATCATTAAATCCTCTTTTTTCAAAATAATCTCCAATGAAAATAATTCATCTTTTCGTCGATTTGCAGCGTTTTTAAAATGCTCTGAATTGCGGCCCCGTCGTCATGGATACCAGCTTCCCGAATCCGCTGCTCACTCCTGTAATGTTTGTTCTGGGATCGTGGATATAAACAGCGTAACTCGCAAAAGGCTGCATGAAAAATGAGCCTCGCTGAGAAGATGCTGTTACAGCCGGGAGGGGGGGGGGGGGGGGGGGGGGGGGGGGGGGTCCAATATGACAAGTGAATCATTTCAGATCTGGTATGAATAATAAAAGGTCGTGCGTTAAGAGGGGTGAGTGGTGGGGGGGGGGGGGGGGGGGGGTCATCGGCTGGTCTCTGTCCTCATCACTCGCTGGGACAGGACGACAGGGCAAACCCCCCCCAGTGATGAGCCAGGCTGCCTTACTGAGGGAGGGGGGGGTGAATGGGAGTAAACTGGGACCTTTAATTTGGAGGCAAAACGCTCGTTCTGACATTCCGCTGACAAGACCCAGCGACTCGCTCACCGGAAAGCTAATCCAAAGCGACAGTCGAGTGACGCCGCTATTGGTCCCCCCCTCACCCACCTCTACACAGCACCCGCCCCTCCTCCGACCCCGGGGGGGGCTCTCATCCGGCGTCATTAGTGACTCTTTAAACAGGTCGAGAGGAGACGTCAAACACCAGCAGCCGTTTGTCCTTCACAACAACGGCCCCTCGTCTCTCCTCTCGTCCGTCACACGTCCACGTGCATCTCTCCTCCAGCTTCCCCCGATCTCCCTTCGCTTGGCCTCCAGCTCCGTCACCGACCCCCCCCCCCCCCCCCTCCCCCGTGCCCCCCCCCCCCCCCCCCCCCCGGAGCAGCTCCACAGCATCTTCTGTATCTCACTGATTCACTGATGTGGGACAAACCATCTCCCCGCTGCCCTCCCATCCCTCCCCTCATCCATATCTGAGCCTCGTGCCTCCCTCTCTCTCGCTCCCATCTTCTGGCGGTTTGTCCTCCCTAACAGCCGCTGTCTGGATTTGGCGTGGATTTGAACCGCGGCGGTAAGAAGCGAGAGGAAGAAGAAAGTGACGGGAAGAGAAAGAAGAGGAAAAGGTGGCGTCGCCGCAAAGCGAGAGTCAGATATCACGTCTCTCTTTTGTTCTTTAAATAGCGCTCCTGTAACTCTGTGGAGCTGACGCGCACGCACACACGCACACACGCACACACGCACACGCACACGCACACACAAAGAAGGAGTACTCACCACCAGCTTTGGACTCCTCTTGGCCGGCACCACTCCTGCAAAACATCGGCAGAGAGACAGAGAGAGCATTAATGAATTGGGGTGCTCTTCCCTTGTCTCCCCCCCCCCACCCGGCCCTAAAAAAAAAAACTGGTCAAAAAGGTAAATAAAAACACAAAAAAAAACAAAAAACCTCCGGGAGAGACGGACGGACCCCTGTTCCTGCTGCAGAGCGGAACGCAACTGGCCCCGACTTGCTCTCCTCTTCCTCCTCCTCCTCCTCTGTTGCTCTCCCTCTCTGAGCAACACACTGCACTAGGCTGCTCGCTAATCTAAGTGATCCCCCCCCCCCCGCCGCCGCCACCCCCCCCGATGCTCCGCTCCGCGCTCCCACCCGTGCTGTTAGCGGAGGAGCAACTGATCTCTCTGCATGAGACCGACTGACTTATGCTGCAGCGTCTTTGGTCAAAAAGCTACAGGGCTGTTCCCCTAAACGCCCCCCCCCGCCCCCCCCTCCATAACCCACACCCCCCTCCCCCCCATCCCGTCCCACGCCTCCGCGCTCTCTCTCCTCCAGTCTACTTCCCGCCCGTCTCCATCACCGGCGCTCCGGCTGAATCTCAACTGTTACCCAGTGAGCCGCTCCGCGGAATCAAAGAGGGGAAGCTGGAGCTTCTGCCTCCACACACACACACACACACACACACACACGCGCGCGCACACACTGTGTGAGTTAACTGTTAGAGTCACCAGAAAGATCCATCTCATTTGTGCTCATAAAGTATTAATACTTGGGAGCCGGTTGTCGTGGAGGAGGAGGATTCTCAGCGAAGGAATCATCCACATTTGCCTCCTTTTAATGGGTTTCTCCTTCAAACATGTCGCTTCTCCACCGGAGGCACATTCACGCACTGCCATTCAGACGTGTTCAACACACACACACACACACACACACACACACACACACACACACAGACTGACACTTTGCATCTCTCTCCAGGAGGAACTCCTTTCCCGATGCGCCGCCGCTCCCTTTTTTTTCCACGCCGCCGACTGCACGACAAAAGTGAGCGCGGACGAAAATAGAAAATAGACAAACGGCGTCGGGACAAAGAGTTGCCGTTGCCACGGCGATCAACTAGTTCTCTCTGCGCCGCGTACTTTGTTAACAAGGCGCCGTTCTTCACGTCGGGCGCAGAGAACGGCGGGAAGCAGCGATGGAAGGACGCGGGCACGCCACGCGAGCATCCTTCTCGTGGCTCCCGGCAGAGAGGGTAAAAAAAAAAAAAAAATCATTAAATGTTAAAACTCTCTGATGCTGCAAAGCCGCTCTCTCTACACGATTCATAATTCATCTCCCCCTCCCTCCCTCCCTTCTCCCCCTCCCTCGGATTATGGGGTGCCAGTTACTGGAGGAAGTGGAACATCCCGACTGCTGACGTGCTGATGTGCGTCTGTGTGTGTGCGTCTCTGTGTGTGTGTGTGTGTGTGTGTGTGTGTGAGTGTGACCCAGGACGGACTCGCAAGAAGTGCTCCCCATTCCGACAGCAGCTCGTGCGACCCGGGACCGCCGAGCGGGAGCCCGAGAATCGCCTTTCACTTTGAACCGACCTCCCGAAAAACCTCAAAGTGTCCACCAGGTCGGCGGGGTCAACGGGGTCAACGGGGTCAGCGCGGAGCACGTAAGAATCGGATGTAACTGCGGCCGTACGGTAAATAAAGGTCGGAGGAACACATACAGCTCGACCCCCCCCTTCCCTGATTCACCCCGCCCTCCCCCTCCCCCCGCCCCCTTCACCCCCTGACGGTGTCAGCTGAAACAGCTGATTTACGATGCAGGCCTTAATAAATCTGCTTAATCCTTCTGGCGGGCAGCGTGACGTTAATGCACGCGTGTAACTCAGCTCCAATCTGCCCGCATGTAACATTCATGAGCAGCTCGCTGGAAGGAGCACGTGAGCAGCACGCCACACGTATGTAGCATCGGCACGCACACACACACGGGGGGGGGGGGAATTATTAAAGCACGGAGCGTTTCGCCTTTTTCTGCCGAAGGGTTTGAATGAAGGTAAAAGCTCTGCTCGACATCTCAACAGTTCATGAGTGGACGAAGGAAACCTTCCAACCAGAGGGGCCATGACGGACGAGGCCCCCGCCTCCTCAAACCGTTCATGCCAAAAACGCATCACGCTTCAAGGTTGAACCGTTACCGCGTAACCAAGAGTCTCACTGGGGAAGAACCAGCTCACGCCAGTTTGTCTCGCGTTGCGATGCTTTTCAATGCTACTCTGACAAAGTGAGAGAAAACAGAAAAGAAGAAGTTGGGCGCGGGTTAGGTCAACCTCCTCGGGTGCAGCTGCAGTGAATCGCTGTGCGGTTCATTGTGCTGGGAGCTGCGGCCTTGGTGGGTCTCTGCAGAACCCACACAGAGTCCTTCCTCCAGCTTCCATACATGAGTAATGTCCTCTTTTGATGAGCCAACCCGGTGTGCGTTTGTCCGCGCTCTACTTATTACACACACACACACACACACACATTTAAATATATATAAGATCGTCCTGCTGTCCGGTTGTTTTCTCTACTTGAAATGACATCCGTCCGCTATTATCACATTTCAGTCCTCCACCCTTTACAGCTTCCCGTCTCCGTCTTTTCCTTTTCTCTTTCTCTCTTGCTCTCAGGGGACAGGAGCGCTGTGCACAATTGTCATGGCAACAACGGCGGGAAGACAAGATGGAGGAGTAACGGCCTCCTGTGCGGGAGGAGATCCTGCACAGTTTTCTTTGTATTAGAAAACAAAGTCTAAAACCCGTCCGTCTGTTGCTAAATGCAGACATTAAGCTGTGGATTACGCAGATATTTATGTTACTTCCCAGTTCGATCAGTTTAGATCCCGCCTCTCTCTGATCTGTCTGTCATTCTAGTGTCAATCAGCCGCATGCTGGCGACAAAGAAACCTTTGAATCGTCTTTTCCTTATAACTCGCTGTGAGATCCGCCGTGCGACCTCGTGCTCGGCGCCCCGACTTAGAAACGATGAGTCGGACAGCGCGGATTGATGAGTCACAGATGGACGGATTAAGGCTTCTTCTCCTCCGCGGTCCTCCTCTTCTTCCTCTCCTCCTCTACAGCGCAATCCGCTCACACGCGCTCCCCTCGCTCAACCTCCGGAGCGGTTCAGCAAATCTCTCCTCTAATCCCCCGACACTTTCTCTCACAACGTGATCCCTAACCTGTTTCTCATTCCCGTCGCTTTACTGTAATCGAACCCCCCCCCCCCCCCCCCCCCCCCCGCCCGCCGCCTCCTCCTCTCAGCTCCTACGATCGCTTCGATTGAACGATTGTGCGCTGGTTGTAACTTTAAAGGTTGCTGCATCGTCCTCAGGCGGAAAGCTGAGAACACACGAGTGTTATTATTATTCCTACAGGTGAAATATTTAGGGGATCCATTAAAAATGGCTCGTTTTGCTTCGACGATTTGACCTTTGCGGCGATGTTCTGAAAGGGAAGAGAAGCACCCGAGTTTCCGTTTGAGGTGTTCTCTTCTGCGCCGCAGTGTTTTCGTGTCTGCGTTTGTTTTGCTCAAAATGTTGCAGCGCTTTTGTCCCGAATTTGTGACTTTTCAAGAGTCATTTTTGAGAAAGAAACGCTTGAAAAGTCGGCAAAAAGGAATCATGGCTGCTCCCGTTTATCTTCACCAATGACGCACCGTGGTCGCGTCTCACATGAACTCCTGCTCTCCTCATCCTCTCATCCGCAGCGCACAAGGTGACCTCGTCAGAGGCCCCGGGCCGACGTCCAACGAAGACGCGGGTCAGACGGAACGCGGACGGAGGACCTCCGACGCCATTCAGCGTACGGCGAGCGTAGCCACCGTGGGGAGAAACTGTTTCTCTCCGCGTCGCTGTGGGGGCGTCAGATGGAAGCCATTCGTCCATCTCACCTCCTCACCCGGCCTCCCATGGACTCATGGACCGCCTGTCCTCGTTCGATCCATCCACTCTCCAAAGACATTTTCACCCCGCCGCCCCCTCCCTTGTCCCCCCCGTCCCCCCCTCATCGTGTCCCTACAGCGGACGACGTGGACAACGTACCTCTCTGCACCAACATGGTGACCTCGCTGCCTCGGGGACACTTGCTCAGCAGGTCCACCACCTGATTGTGGCTCATGTTCTGGACGTTCCTCTTGTTGACCTCCATCAGAATGTCCCCCTCCCTCAGGCCGCGGCAGCGCGGGTAGTCCACTATCTGCTTGACCCGCTGGCCTCCCCCCGTCAGGCTGTCCGCGATGGTGAAGCCGAACCCCTTGTCGCCCTTCTCCATGTGGATGGTGATGAGCTCCGGCTGGGTGGCGATGGACGAGGCCAGGTTGACCACGTCGCTGGAGTAGCCGTGCGAGCTGTTGGACGCCGCCTCGGAGGGGCTGTGCGAGCGCGCCTCCCTCACGCCGTTGGCGGGGCCGGCCTTGCTGGAGGGCGAGTCGAACGCCTCCTGCCCGTTGACGATGATCGGCTCCTTGTCCACGATGGCCACCGAGGTCACCAGGCTGGTGTTGGGGTCGTCGGGGTCGAAGGGCAGCGGGTAGCCGCGGCACAGGGCCAGGTCCACCATGGAGCCGATGGGGATGGACTGGAAGATCTTCACCACCTGCGCGTGGGTGTAGCCCAACACGATGGTGTCGTTCACGCTGACGATCACGTCGCCTGCAGCAAAGAGAACGATGTCACCGCTGAGACCATCAAGGACAAGGGTTCCAAAAGGGTTCGTCCTCCCAGGAGGAACCTCTTGACAGTTAGTTGGAACCCTGAGAAACCAGGAGCCAGAGGGACGATTCAGGGAACCCACATGGTTCTAGTTAGCAGCTTTATTTGTAAGAGTGTGGAGTTAGAGGTTTAGAAACAACACCGTTGTAACAAATAAACGGTTGGTCAAGAACTTTAAAGTTCCGTAATCGCCGTACTGTGCCTGAAGGACTTTTAAGCGCTTTCCACCGACCCGGGTTTGCATGGACCCACAATGCAGCAGAGCCTGAGCAACAGTAAGGGCTAAAATGATGTCACTTCTGTAAAACACGGCATGTGAATACAAAGCGGTACAAATATCAGCTCAACTCTTCTTTGCATTAATGGTTATTCCTTTCAATGTGGTCTGTGGCGAGGCGTGCTGAATGAAAACAGCGCCCCCTGGGGTCAGCGGCGGCGTGCTGCACCTGTCTCCATCTTTCCATCCACGGCGGCGGGCCCGTCCAGCACCAGGCTTTTGATCTGCAGGAACTCATCCGGCTCGTCGCCCCCGACGACGGTGAAGCCGAAGCCGCGGCGGCTCTTCTTCAGCTTGGTGCTGATGAAGGTTCCTTTCAGCTCCGCCGGGTTCCTCGTGAAGAAAGGCTTCCCCCCTGCAGAGCGGCGCAGAAACCACACGGTCCACGTTCCGCGAGAAAATCCTCCACACACACACACACACACACACAGTGTCTGTGGAACCCGGGGACTTACGCTTGGCCCCTGCGGGGATGGGAGGTAGAGTGGGCGGGGCCTGCGGGTCCCTGTAGGTCTCCAGGTGGTTCGGAGCGTAGTTCGCGAGCGGAGCCGCCGCCGACGAGTGCTCCTCGATCCACTCTGAGGACACACGATCACAAGGAGGTCATCGACACCGGATCCCCCCCCCCAGCGCGTGTTCACATGCACGACGCAGTTAAACAGTTGAAGCAGTTCTAATGCTTGATCATTTTCATGTTGACATCAGTGGATCTTTATACCATTCTGCCGTGTAGCAGCTTCAAATCAAGATAAAGCTGTAAAGGCGTTTTCTCTAAATAAGTCTGCTCTCAGACTCAGAAGCTCTTCCTCTACACGTTACTACCTAAGAGGGGCTGTCTCAGATATCATTCCTGGCCTCATTTATACAAGATTCTAATAATAAATAAATAATAATATTCTATTTTTTACGGCTTCCTCACGTCTCTCTCGCCGCTGGGCTGAAGTTAAAAATCTCTTTCTAGCCGTTTCATGAAAAAGCAAATCAAATGATCAAATACAGAATGATGCACAGCATTTATGACTTATCAAATAAAAACCTAAAACACCAAAAGACGACCCCGGGGCTCGGGCCAGCTCTTATTTTGGTGAAACTCGCTCCTCCAAATGTGCATTTAGTGCATTTGTTGCGTCAGGGCGACAGAAATTGACTTCCATGGCCGTCTGGCCCAAACCCCGGGAGAGCACTGACACTCACAGACATGAAGAAAGAAAGAAATGGTGCCGCGCCAGGGCAGGAAACGAACCTCGAATATACCGCTCACCTTCTGGAGGCTGCGGCTGCTGCTGCTGCTGCTGCTGCTGCTGCTGCTGCTGCTCCAGGATTTTCCGACGCCGCGCCTCCACCACATGGGTTCTCGTACTGGGTCTTCCTGTTGATGTGACTGGGACAGCGGAGGGAGGGAGGAGTGATGTCATCAGGGTGCGAAGAGAAACGACATCGTGGGAAGTAAAATGCAGCTTAAAATGACCCCGGCGTGTTTATTAAAAAGCAAATCATATTTATTTCTGAATAATTTAAAGGTTCCTGTGCAAATAATCACTATAGATGACAAAAAAGTCAAATCATTTTAAAAGTTTGATTTGATTTTATCAATGAATAGGCCTACATTTCAGTGTCAAAGAGGAGCAGAACTTACTCTACATAGTACACGCCGTACACCGGGTCTTCTATCCTTTCCCATCCCGGAGGCAGCTCTAAAACACAAAAAGGGCAACACAGCATTAAAAGCAGATTAACGCTTTCACCAGTTCTTCGCTCTGAAAAGTTCCAGCTGCTGAGGGATTGAGTGCGGCCACATTTCTCCGGATGATTTTTAGCATCTGTGAATGTGGCACCGAAGAATCGGCCCGCGGCTGATGTTCTTCTTCTTCACAGGAAGAGTTTGTTTTTCTGTGTTTACGATCAACAACACGGGGGGAACAACCCTCTGTGTGTCTCCCGTAAATCCCCCCAAAACAGCAAAACAGAACCAAATGCCAAGAAATATACGACTACAACGAGCGCAGATTTTTCGCACCATTTGTCTTTTACTTTGTAAAGTTGTCGTTTGTACTCGTTAAATTATCCCCCGTAAAATGTCTCGGTTGTAAAGCGGAGAGGATTCTGCCAGCAGCACTTATCTGTTTTATGAATATCTGGCAAGACGTGCAGAGCTAAATCACCACGGGTCCACAACCACCTTAATTACACCACGGCTAAACATCTGCACAGCCGTGCGTCAACAACGGCACACGCGGCCGGTCCGGAACGTGAGAAAGCACAACAAACTCAAACACACACACACACACACAACAGACGAGGCCTATTAAACCGACACATCCCCATTAAGACGTTGGCACCTCGGTCCTCCTCCTCCTCAACGTATCCGATGTCAGACAAAGACATTATTTACTCTAGTGGGGGGAGGGGGTGAGGGTGATGGAGGGGGTGATGGGGGGGGTGAGGCTGTATTTCACAGTCAATAATCACACAATTTAGGCTTCAAGTCTTGTGTTTGTGACACTACGCGCGTAAGCGAGACGGCTGCTGCACAGTGAAAGAAAGGCGCAGAGTAAACGCGTCGCCGTGGGTTGAGTTCAGTGGGTTCAGCGAGTCACTCAGCGGTGCACGAAAGGGGCGAAAAAGTACCACGAGAGGTCCGCGAGCGTTCAGCGCTGCAGCGGGAGGAGAGGCCTGCGCGGTCAGGTAATGGTAAGAGGTAATGATCCAAAACATAAGGATGGGGGATTTAATGGTTTTTCCGCGATGGGGTTACAGACTGAAACTCCATCCCGCGTGCAAAGCGAGCAGCGAACACATAACATTGGTTGAGTCCTTGTGGGCCCTTTGAATCGAGACAGAACCGCATCATAGGTAAACATTTATAAAGTAGAGAGAGAAATAGGAAAAAACACTGCTGGGTACAGTTACAGTCATATTGGACACAGATTTTAATTTCGCATCACATGATTTCATCATCTGTGAACGTTGGTGTCTTAATTACGGATTTGTTTACACGTAGTCTCAGTAAAACACAACTCAATCCATCATCAACTTTCTGTTTTTGTTCTTGTGAAACTTGCCCTTTAGTTTACACTTCTGCTTATTTTGCCGTTCCAACACATTAACACCACTAACTTTTGAAATGCCCCAAAGAAGCTCCAATTTCCAACAAACAGAAAAACATTTCAGCAAATCTTTCAGTGCCGAATTGGATGAGTCACAATGTAATAAAGCTGAATTGATTTAGTCAGTCTTCCTTTCTTCTTCTTACTAGAAATACGCCTTTCCACGCATGAAAATAAACAAAACTTTGCACAAAGGTCAAGTCCTCTTTCGGTCCGGCACCAAAAACTAGAAAATGATCAAATGAAATTATTAAATCCATCATGCTTTTTCTTACGGACTGCAAAGCGCATCAAATCTATTTTTTCACTGTCATTTTTCTCCATTGACGCCCGACATTGGCGCCCACGGCGCGTCCATGAGTTTCACAGTAACTAATAACTGACAGCATTCTGCTCTCATCCGTAGATGAAGTCTGGTGAATCTGCACGTTAAAAACTGAATTTTTTACAGTATTTCTTAATTCCATCCACATGAAGGTTGAGCCTCTTCTCTCATTGATCTTTAGAAAAAAAACTAAAATGTCGTCGTCTACGTGGAGTTTGTCTCGACAGGTGGAGTTTTTGACGCTAGTTTGCGATGTAACTCTTGCCAGCGCGTCGTTGCAGTGCGAGGTCGTCTGGAATAAACCTGCTGACGTTAAAAAAACAGATGAGATCTTACCGAGATCCGTCTCCAACTCCTCCGTATGGATCCCTTCTTCTCCAGAACGAAAGCACCATGAGACAGAGAAGGGACGGGGATGGAGGGCGGAGGACAGGTGGGACGGGGGTGGAGGAGAGGTGGGACCGGGATGGAGGCAGAG